AGTGTCACTCTGCACTGTGTCTCTGAGCACTCACTGACTGCAGGTTTGGGGATTGAGGCAAGCCATGCTGCTGACACTGGTGCAAATTAGCTTCTCTACAGCAGCAGTGGTGCAAATTAGCTTCTCCTTTCCCCTCCGAGGAGTCATCTTTCTATCGCGTGGGATTATATTTGTGTTGCAAAGTGGACACAAATGAGCATTTCTGCTCAAAAACAAAAGCTAGAGACCAAAATCACAGGCATGGAGCTGACTTACCAGCTGGGAAGAAGGAAGAAAAGAAAGTGCAGTAAACTGCAGCCCATTGCAAAACAGCCATTTTAGGCCTGCAGCTGCTGCTCTTTCCTAGATTGAAAAGGCCAGCCCACCAAGAAGGCACGTTGGGAAGCTGGTCTGCTCGGAGGGTTGCCTGAGCATCCTGAGATGACTGCAGTATTATAAGCCCTGCGCTAGAAGCACGTTGCTGATCGTTCGGGTTTTTACAAGGACTTGTCCTGTCTGAGGCTGGATTCCTCTTCAACTTGCATGATGTGCTCAGCCCTATGCAAAAGAGAGCGTGGAGGCAATATGGCCTAGAGAGGAAAATCACTTCACTTGCCTGTGGCTCAGTTTCCCTTTCTGCCCACGTGGAGTATCAACTCTGGGCATAGGCAGTCTTCGTTATGTGTATAGGCAATGTTTCACAGTGTGGTCCTGACCTCTAAGGGAGCCTCCAGGCACTGCTATCACACTAATAATTCATAACAATTGCTATCCTCTGGGACTTTTTGGACCGTTTTGTTACCCACAATAAGCACCAAGCAGGATTGGACCCCAGCAGCAGTCATGCTCCTACTGCCAGTCACTGACTCTGCCATTCCTTGACTTCAATTGCAATAACTTTTCCATGTCTATGTTGAAAAAAGTAGGGAAAATGATAAATGGCAAAACAAGCCAAACAGCAAAAAGTGGGAGCAGTGAGCCTCTGGGTCACCGGCTCGGCATTTTGAACATTGGCTAAAATATATACAACAAGCTACAAGGAATCTGCTGCAACACACGGTGTTTGCATGTGCAATAGTATTTGGATGGGATTATATCCTTGGCTGCTGCTTGTGCTTAAATCTCACTTTGTAAAGGAAAGCCCAGTGCCAGACCTGAGGGGTCTTCTCCAGGTGGAAACCAGAGGAAAATGAAAAACACCTGAAGCTGAGCTGGCAAGCCTTGCACATGCAGACACCCCACTTTGAATGATAGTTTTGTTCCAGCGTGGACACAAATGGGCAATTCGGCCCCAAAACACTGCGAGTAATAAGGGTGCTGTGCAGTTGGGTAGGCTTGAGATTTTGCTGAAATGTTAACCCAGGACACAGGGCCAATGCAGCATGTTTTGTCATTGTTGTTGTTCCCTTTTTTTGCAGGGCAAAAGATTTTACAACGTGGCAGAGTGGTTGCATGTGCCCTAGTAATTGCATCAATTATGTCATTTGATATAATTGGACTCATTGCACAAACACACAATGATTAAATAGAAGTTATTCCTAAAAGAACATTAAATTCTGTTCTCAGCTCTACTGCTGCAAATTGGAAAGAGCTCCATCCAGATCAATAGTGCTTGCTGGTGTGAAACTAGTCCTGAAGATTGTGCAGGACTGGGGAAATTAATCTGTTGTTTCAGAGCTCTGGACCAGACAGGATAGTGAAAATACCTCGGGGACATTACACAAGAAGAAGGTGCTATTTCCTGGCCAAATTCCAAGGTAAGTAAATCCCCCTTGTATTTTCAACCATAAATGGCATCCTTCTTTCTTGTTCTCAACTGCTGTGCATTGATTTTGTAGTCTGTTAAGCAGCTGCTGATTCTGTATCAAAATGAGAGGGGAGGGCCCTGTGCCTACACGGTAGTGGCAAATCCCGTACTGTACACACTCACGCTGGTGACAACCTCTGCAAATGTTGACGGATTGACTTTATACTGAAAGCAGTGTTGAAGGGAGCAGATTTTCCTCTCAAAAAAAAAAATATCATCTATGAAAAAAGGATATATTTTGCAAAGTACTTTGGACTGCAATCCTATATAGCTCAATTTGCTGTTCATAATGAATTCAGAGCGTAAGAGAGTTTGCCAACAAAATTCTGAACATCAATCTCCCCAGGGCTCCTTTGAAAAAAAATCCCGCGTGAGTCTCCAGCATCAGGTACAACCACACACTATTTTTTTTAACTAATATTGCAGGTCCCTGGAGAGTTGTGGGAAAATATTGGAAGTTTAACCCTTCGATTGCTTGTTTCTGGTGGGTTGCTTATTGGTTAAAATACTGCCGTGCCAATAGATAACCCCACAATTAATTTCTGTTGTGGTTTGCCTCGCTCACAACGACAAGGCAAATGAGATTGATTTCTGAGCAACAGTCTGTTGCCAGCACAAGTGTATAATTAATTCATAGCGAAACCAACCTTGTTCTGTTGATGCACCACATAAGCGACACTTATTCCTTCCACAAAACTTGCATTCCCGCTACTTGCATGGACAGACTTAGTTCAAATTTGTCTTGAAATATTTTAAACAGTGAAGGAACACACGTTTCCCTCCTCCACAACATCACTCCACCACCAGGACAGAATAACAGTGCTAAGCGTTTGCAGGATCCAATGCAAAGCCCACTGAAGGCAAGGGAAAGACTCCCCTTGACTGCAGCGAGTTTCGAATGTGATTCAAAGTGCCCTTTTAGGAATGGGAACTAATCTTCACAACACTGGCCATGTCACAGTGAGCTACGATCCCCATTATGACAGGGGGGGATGTGAGAAGCAGAAAGGCTAGGGGCAATGTAGTCATCAGTGGCCTCTGTTGGGAAACCTCGTTTTCTTCTTGCCCAACTTCAGAAACCTCGGCCTGGCGTGGAGTGCAGTGACCCTACTGCTCCAATGGGAAATAGAGGTGCTCACCACAGTTGGAAATTAAACCCAGCGTGTCTCAAACTGAGCCGAGAACGAGAGCCCACCGCTGAAATCCCTGCGGGTGGCTTGTTCCCAGAGCCAGAGTTAAAACCCAGGCCCTAGCCCAGTGACCAATAAACCACGCCACACCTCAAAGCCAAAGCATTGACCTGTTTTCTCCAATGACTGTTTCATGTGACATACATGTGCAATCCTGAGCACAGGACCCAGGCTTTCCCCATCCGGGAGGATGTCTTCATCGCTGAGCTGTAGACTCAGGCTCCTGCCTGGGCTTGCATCCTGGGCTAGTGACTTGATTCCTCCCTCCATCATCCCCAGGAGCAGGGCCCAAAACAGCCTGTTGCCTAGTGGTTTGGGTGCTGTCCTAGGAGGAATCTGGATCCCCTCCCACAGAGGAAAGATCTGAATCTGGGTCTCCTTATGCATTAGGCCAAAACATAAAGAGGCATATGGCAGCCACGTCTTAGACAGGAACAAATAAGCCTTGTCTAATAGTGTGGTCAAAAGGACACAGCTAGGGACCTTCAGGGGAAGTGTGTGGATCCCAGGCACTCTAAGGCACCTCCCAGGAGCCCTGAAGGAGGCACATGCGGGGCAGAATTGAAACCCCAGGCCTCAACAGCATTTCCCTACTGCCTAGCTCGAGGCAGGCGCATGCGGACCTGGGGCTGACCTGCCAGCACGCCGGCTGCTCCGCATCCCATCCAGAGGGGAGCCCAGACCCCCTGCCCGGGGCTTGGGATCCTACTTTGCATGACAGAGCCCACGTCTAGGTGCCTGCATCCTTCTTGCCTTGCATCACTTCTGAAAACCGGCACCAGGACATCTCACTCACGGAGGGGGTTTTCTAATCCATTATGCTTTGCTGCCACCCATTATGTATGCCCTGCTCTGAAACCCAGACTGAAGGTCACGGTCAGCAAGAGCTCGGCCACTGATTTCAAAGGGAAGGGCAGCAATGCCATCCTGTGCCTCAGTCGTGGGGCTGCCGAAAGGAGGCTACACCGCCTGAGGCAATTAAGGTCAGGAGAAAGACTGACAAGTCAGATGGGAATTGTGAGCAGGAGGTGCGAAAGCAAATGTGTGGTAAGAGGGAAAGGGGAGGCTATAAAATATTCAGAAAACTTGCACTTGGGCAGAGTTGCAGAACAGAGGGTTCATGAACGACAAACAGCACTGGGGGGTTTTTTTGCAAGAGATTGCACTAAACAAAACCTCAAGGCCCGGGCACTTAGTTTTGGGGAGAATGCTATAGCTTCCTGAAGTGATACAATCAATGCACCTTACATTACTGTTGCAATAAAAGCTACTTGGTGCCTCCACTGAAGATAAAAGAGTCTTTCCAAAGACTTGGATGGGTT